TGTATGTGCACAAGGCACGGAAACTCCCTTTAGAGACCTCACACTCCTCTCCCTGATTTGTGGGGACCTCCTGCTTTCCCATACGGAGAGGGCCCAGAGAGGAGGAAGCTGTGCTGAAAACAGAGGGAGACAGAGTGGGGATGGCTCCTGCCCTGCCCACCCCCTGCCCATTCTGGACAGGTCACTTTCAGCTGCCTTGTGTGTTCAAATCCTGCCTGCCATCCTGCCTGCCTGCCTGCCTGCCTCTTCCCCTGCTGGTCTGTGGGGCAAGAAAGGACCTCAGGAGCCGGGGGAGATTTGCTGTGTGACCCCAACTCAGCTGCTAGGGTTTTTCTAAGTCACCACCTCTCCCCTGGGGGGGCTGTCCTGGGGCTACATGTATGTTAAAGGTCACCAGACTCCCGAGTCATGCCTGGGGTTCTCTAGTCCTTGCTTTTTCACCTATCGTCAACACATCCTTTTAAAAATTCAATAGGTAGGCCAGGTGCGGTGGCTCATGCGTATAATCCTAGCACTTTGGGGGGCCAAGGCTGGTAGATCACCAGAGGTCAGGAGTTTGACACCAGCCTGGCCAACATGGCAAAACCCCATCTCTATTAAAAATGTAAAAAATTAGCCAGGCGTGGTGGTGGGTGCCTATAATCTCAGCCACTTGGAAAACTGAGGCAGGAGAATCACTTGAACCCAGGGGCTGGGGGTTGCAGTGAACCGAGATTATACCACTGTACTCCAGCCTGGGGAAAAAAGTGAAACTCTATCTCTGTCTCAAAAAAAAAAAAACAATTCAGTAGGTTACTATGTGCAAGCTTATTAAAGATGTTAAGAAATTCATCTTTTCTTATTCACTTTGCCTTCTCAGTGGTCTGGCCCTCCGTGTTGGGGGTAAATGCGTTTTTAGGTCTGTGGTCTGGGAGCTGGAACAGGGACAGACCCTGGGGTGGGGCCAGGATGAGCCATAGGCCCCTCTATGCCTGTGGAAGGGGTTGGAATGTCAGAGGCTCCCAGGTCATGGCACCGCCTACGGAGCCCTCACACCACTTTGCCTCCTTTTCAATTCTTTGTCTGCATCCCGCTCCCGCTGTAGTTCTACAGAGTCCCACCATCGGAAGCCTCTGCACACACAGGCATGGCCTGCCCCATTCACCCAGAACTACTTCTCTGAAGCTGAGACACACATAGGTGAGATAGACAAAGGCAGGTGACCCAGGAGCAAGGTCATTCACTCATTTTGGGCTGGGGAGCTCATGGTCCTCAGCAGCCTCTGTGAAGGCCTCCTCCCCCACCCCCCACTTTTACATCCACAGTGCTGGAAGGTCTGTCCCAACCCGCACTCCAGAGTGCAAGAAAGGGAGAGGCAGTGGGATGGGGACTCTGTGCTTTGTATGTAGGCTGAGCTAAGAGGGTCCATCTCCATCCCAGCCTTTGCGAGGGAGAGAAGGGGCTTCCCAAGGGCAGGCCTTACCTACTCTCACCCAGGATATCCAGGGTCAAGACTTCCCTGGCTTCTGAACTCAGGGCCCACACTCTTTCACCGGAGCTTCCACTATTTTGTGACACATGAAGGTACTTGACCGTGGCAGTTCCTGGAGCCTGCATGGAGATATTCAGTCCTATGACATCTCTGCAAACCTTCTTCCTACAGCTGCATAAAGTTTGAGGTAGAGAGTAAGTAGTAGAAAGACGGGTTGAACCATATCTCTGAGTGGGATCTTCGTAGGTGTTCTCATCTTGTTTTTAGAATTTTTTGTGGTCTGTATAAAGACAGTATTGTGGAAACCTAAGTTTCAGTGAAGGAACTCAGGATGAAGGTGGGCTTACAACACCACTCTCAGAATCCCTCCATGTCCTGTCACTTCTAGAAAACAAGCCCATACCAAGCACGACACAAATAAACGTCATTATCCTTTTATGGGGGAAAAAAAGAAACTATTTATTTATTTCGGAATATTAAAAGTTCTGTGTTTTCACAGAAGACTACTTGACCTTCTGTGAGACAGCCTTCTTGGGGGAGCAAGAGTTGGGGCTGTCCTGGCCCTGTTGGTCATTGTTGCGCCGGATACTTTTCAAGGACTGTTGATCTCGGATATGCTTCTTTCTGTTGGGGTAACTCTGGCTCTTGAGAGTGGCTTGTTGACTGCTGGCTGCATAGACCACCACCTCCACCAGGAAGAGGTGCCTGCGGTTGCAGGGAAACCCACAGACTGGGGCTTGGAACTCCAGTTTGTGCTGATTTACATGAGAGGCACGATGCTCATGGCAAAGTGTCACTTTTTTCTCCAGCATGTGTCCAGCTGCTGCCGTGAGCCCCTCGGCTTCAGCACAGCTGCTGTACACATGTGATCTGTTTTTCACTGTTTTCTGGCTCTTGGCAGTGACTGGAACTGGCTTGCTTTTTTTCACTGAAAAGACCTGCTGAAAGAATTGTTTGATGTTTTCTCTGAAGTCGCTTATTGAAGGAGGCTGTTTCTTTGACGGCAGCAGCCGGAGGCCTTCATCCTGATGGGTTTTTTCTGTTTTCCTGACTGGGGTGAGTTGGGGAGTCCTCAGTTCTTCAAGCCTTTCTTCACATTTTTCTAAGTTGGGCTTCGTTGGGTTCTCACTGTTGTGAGTAGGGGTAAACATCCGGCTCTGGCTCTTGCATGAGCCTTGACATTTCGGGTTCTTGGGCTCCTTGTACCCCAGGTTGCTCCTTCTGGCTGCCATAAGGTCATGTAGCTCCTGGCAAGCCTGCATGTTCCTGGTAGGCATGCTCTGGAGACGGCCGTGGGGCACTTGAGAAGCCAAACTCTCTGTAGCAAGGGGAATGTCAGTAAAACCATCTGGAGGGAGCACAATGGCGCCACAAACTTGAGGCTGGGTATCTGAGTTAGGGAGTTGAGAGCCTTTACTAGTCTGTTCAGCCTCTGAAACACTCACATCCTTACCTGTGGCTTGGTTTGCCAGCATAAAGGTTCCCAAGGGATCTCTGGGTTGTGGCGCTGCCTCCATGGTCTCTCCAGCCCTTGAAGATTGGGGTCCTAAGCTCCTGCTCTGCTGGGTGCTGCCTGTGAGGCTGCATGTGAGGGGCTTAGAAGGCCACCTGTCCTTCTGTTTAGCTGGAGGAGGCTTCAAGGGCCCATGGGCATTCCAAGACAGGATCCCTTGTGGGGCCCTCTAGAACTTCGTAAATGTGGGTGAAGACACCAGAAGACTGTCTGGCGTCTGAACAGATGCTGTGGTCAGCACCTGCTTTCTCAGACCTGCCGGTGGTGATCCTCTTAGGAATGTGACTTTCTCAACTTTTGAGCTAGGCTGAGATTCATAGGTGGCTGAGGAGGGACCGGCAAGCTGTGTTAGGGATAAGGATGAAACCTTTTCCAGTTTAAAGAGCTTAATGGGCTTGAGGACCCTGAGGGCTAGGCTCCAGTTGTGTTTGGCCCACAGCCTCACAATATGGTGTCCCAGCACCTGTCGAGTGCACGGATCGAGGAAGGAAAGCTCCTGGGATTTGTTCACACTGGCTCTTTCACTTTTCGGGGGTGTTAGATTGCTGGTCTTCATGTGGGTGTTGGACACGGGAAAAGCCTGGTTGACAGCAAGCCAGGATCGACGCACACGAATGGGGATAAAGCCCTCACTGATCTGGCTCAACTTCATGCCCACGTGGGCTTTCAGGATGTTTTCTATACGATTTGTCTCTGTTCATCTTAATAAATCACTTTCTGAGTTTCTCTTCAAGGGTACCTTCAAGTCTCTTTCCGATTCCTCAGAGACTTGAGGTTCTGCCCCCACAACCTTCCCTGGGAAGCTTTCCGTGCACCTGGCTAGATTTTGTGTGGTCTGCCCCCGAATTTGTCCCAGAGGTGTACACGGATTACTCTCTAGCGGGAACATTACCTTTTGTATGTTTTTGCTGCTTTCGCCCATGGACTCGGAGAACTGCAAGGGTCTGAGTTTGCCCCTGGCCTGACTTGTCCCTGGCAGTTTCTCCGGAGGCTGCATCAGATCCAGAGACTCTTGGGTCATTCCCAGGTTGCTTTGGAGTTCAGGACTGACTGGAAAATTCTCAGGAATGATTGCTGTCAAGGTGCCCTGGGGAAGGTTAGGAGTAGAGGCGCTAAAGACATCCTGAGGTTTTTGGGCCCTAGAGGGTAAAGCCAACCCACCTTCTGGTTGTTTAGAAGACCATCCAGGGCCCTGCATTTCAGGGAAGGTGAGAGCTTGCGTCTTATTCTGCGATGCGGGGCAAGCTACTCCAGAATTATTAATCGGGGATGCTAAAGCAGGAGATTGGACTGGGAAAGAGGATTGAAGATGGGCCTGAACCTCCTCCTGAGCCATGTGTGACAGCTGGAATTGGGGTGTGGGCGAAATAAAGGGTTGGGACTCAGGCCTCAGATGGGACAGGCGCTGGGCCTGGTAGAGCAGTGGAGACATTGTAGTCTCTGTTTGAACTGGGCGGACATTGGGAACGGCATTGAACAAGAAAGGAGAAGAGTGTAAAGTAGAAGATCTCTCAGACACCCAGGCATTAGCCTCCAAGGATTCACTGTGCCGAGTGGGGAAGCCCCAGAAAAGCTGGGTATAATTCTTCTGAAAATGTTCCTTCAGGATTCCAGGATCCGAGAGCTTCTGAGGACTGGACGATTGTTTCAAGTTTTCCATGTCCCAGACGGGTTTTAGGGTTGTGGTGTTCTGCTCAGCATTCAATGATTTCACCAAATTCTCCAAAGAATTCAAGTGCTTTTCTGTGTTCATTTGTTTTGGAAATGATCCATCTTTTTCTTTTTCCACTGAAATGTTGATCCTGGCTCTTTCTGTGACTTGTATTCCCACGACATTCTGGCCATCAGAGCTGTGCAAAAAGGGGCTTTCAGCTTCCATCTGACTGTTTGTGGGGTCTCCCGAGGACGATGTTTCTGGTGGGTGGCCGGAAAGATGATCTTGCTGGACCAATGGGTTGGAGACGCACCAGGTTCTGGTAGTTTCTTGAAACCAGGATGCAGACACAGAGGCATGACTGCTTGAGCCGCCAAGGCCTGAGATGGCTGGGCCAGAGGTCGCCACATCCTGACACGGAGATCAGCTTTGATGGATGGTGCCCAGTGGAAGCGCCACTGGGTCACAGTGAGATGGAGTCGTCAGAGTGGAGACCCGCAGGTGAGGAGCAATGAAGCCTTTTGGAGGAGGTGGAGAGCAGGCCAGAGGATCAGGGATGTGTGGTGGGTTAGGGAAAAGCGCAAGTAGCTCAGGTGAGGGGTGATCCAGGGGAAGAGAAGGCTCTGGTGGTTGGGAGGCACTCAGAGGGGAGACTGAGGTGGCCATTTGGCCTGGTGATGGGGTGGAGACCAGGGGTGAAGGATGCTGGATCCGGGGAAGCTAATGGGGAAAGCACGGGAGCGGCATCTTTCATCAGCTCCTGAGGGGCCTGGGAGGTTCCATCAGGCGTTCTTTTGCACTCCTCACCTGGGGGATCTGGACTAGAGAGCTGATCAAAGTCGCCTGTTTTAGGATGCTGCCCCAGGATGCTGCAGGAGGCAGGAGGCACAAGCTGCAGCCAGGAGCAGGTAGGGCCATAGGGCAGAGTGGGTGCGTGGGCCCCGGCCCCTCCACTGCCCCACACCCAGACCCCCCAATTTTCCTATGCCCCTTCACCGCCCCACACACTGACTGCCCAATTCTCCTATGTCCCTCCACCACCCTACATGCTGACTGCCCAATTTCCTATGTCCCTCCACCACCCCACATGCTGACTGCCCAGTTCTATGCCCTTCCACCACCCCACATGCTGACTGCTTAATTCTCCTATGTCCCTCCACCGCCCCACATGCTGACTGCCCAATTCTCCTATGTCCCTCGACCACCCCACATGCTGACTGCCCAATTGTCCTATGCCTCTCTACTGCCCCACACCCAGACCCCCCAATTCTGCTATGCCCCTTTACTGCCCCACACTGATTCCCCAATTCTCCTCCTATGCCCCTCCACTGCCCCACACCCAGACTCCCCAATTCTCCTCCTATGCCCCTCCACCCCACATGCTGACTGCCCAATTCTCCTATGTCCCTCGACCACCCCACATGCTGACTGCCCAATTGTCCTATGCCTCTCTACTGCCCCACACCCAGACCCCCCAATTCTGCTATGCCCCTTTACTGCCCCACACTGATTCCCCAATTCTCCTCCTATGCCCCTCCACTGCCCCACACCCAGATTCCCCAATTCTCCTCCTATGCCCCTCCACCCCACATGCTGACTGCCCAATTCTCCTATGCCCCTCCACTGCCCCACACCCAGACTCCCCAATTTTCCTTCTATGCCCCTCCACCACCCCACACCCTGACTCCCCAATTCTCCTCCCTTACTTCTCCACCACACCACATGCTGACTGCCCAATTCTCTTCCTATGTGCCTCCATTGCTTAACATCCTGACTCCCCAATTTTCCTATGCCCCTCCACCGCCCCACACCCTGACTTTCCAATTTTCCTCCTATGCCCCTCCACCGCCCCACACGCTGACGGCCCAATTCTTCTCCTGTGCCCCTACACCACCCCACAAGCCAACTCCCCAGTTCTCCTCCTATGTTTCTCCATCACCCCACATGCTGATTGCCCAGTTCTTCTATGCCCCTCCACCACTCCACATGCTGACCGCCCAATTCTCCTTCTATGCTACTCCCCCGCGCTGCACCCAGACTCCCCAATTCTTCTCCTATCTTTGGTCCAGGGTTTTATTCCCATCCTCTGTTCCCCTGGTTTCCCCATCTCAGGGCAGCTCCAGGCTGCTGTAAGGCCCTGGGGTTGAATCCCAGCCTGGTAAGAAGGATACAGGGAAGGGGAAGTGCCTCACCGCTGCAGTTTTGAAAGCAAGTCCAGAGTCCTCTCCAGGACTGTCAGGGGGTCTGTAGAAGCTGGAAATCAGGAGACCGGGTTAGGGCAGTGAGGGAGGGGCCTGTGATCTCACAGGAGGCTGAGTGGATGTTTCTTGAGGGAAGACCATGGGGAGTCAGACCCTGGAAACCACGTCTGTGTCCAAAGCCGCATGGCCTGGACAGTGATAGCGAGGCACAGAGGGCAATGCTTTGTTGTCCACAAAGGGCTTCCACACACAGACCCCCCATCCCCATAGTTCTCACAGCTGCCCTGTGGGGAGAAAGGACTGGGGTGGTCTCAAAGTGGAATCAGCCTTAGCAGAGTTGAACAGCTGTCCACAGCTCCCTCACCCCATCCTGATTCAGACACACATTGGTCTCCTCCCCCTACACTGTGCCCTGCTGGGGAACACCCAGTCCTTGGCCCACCATGGTTTCATGCCAGCACGGAATCTGAGAGGGACCCGGGGTTCTGATTTCCTTCCTAGGAGCCCCCACTTCAGGCTTCTTCAATTGACTTCCTCAGACAGAGTTGCTTCTCTCCGGGGACAGACGAGATCAAATGAACTCTAGTGTGCCCCGGCAGAGCCTTACCTTTCAGACTGTAGTCTTTCTTCCTGCCTTGGGGCCTCCCCCTCCACTGACATCGACACTGGGACAGAAGATGACCGTGGGAGAGAAGATGACCCTGGGAGACAATAAAGGGCAAGGGGCTGAGACCAGCTCTCTCTCTCTCCGCCCCAAGTCCAGCTGCAGCACTCACGAACCGCTCAGCTCTCTCATCTTGCTCAGGGAGCGGTGTGCTTCCTCCCACTCATGTTTAAGTGGATGATAAACTGCTTTTCTTCTTAGAAAAACACGAAGAGGGGGCCAGATGCAGTGGCTCATGCCTGTAATCGAGCGTTTGGGTTAGCCAAGAAGGGTGGATCACCTGAGATCAGAAGTTTGAGAACAGCCTCGCCAGCATAGTGAAACTCTGTCTCTACTAAAAGTAACAAAAATTAGCCAGGCATGGTGGCGCGTGCCTGTCATCTCAGCTACTCTGGAGGCTGAAGCAGGAGAACTGCTTGAACCTGGGAAGCAGAGGCTGCAGTGAGTCGAGATCACCATTGCACTCCATCCAGGGCGACAAGAGTGAGACTCCGTCTCAAAAAACAAACAATAAAACCCACCACAAATAGAGATTTACTATATGAGGAAATACATGTATTATATATATTTCATATGTAAACTATAATATACATAATGTATAATATATAATATAATTTAAGTAACAGTAGAGGTGCTCCTCTACTTGACAAACACCCAGGCTCAGGCCCACGGGCACACCTGAGCTGTCAGGTAGGATTCTGCTTCTCAGGAGATCAGAGGAGACTCCAGGCCCAGGTGGGAGGCCCTGGGTGGCTCAGCATAGCCCCCAGATCACCCCACACAGATGAGGCTGGGCCTTCAGCCACCTGCCCCAGGAAGGGGCTTATGAGCGCCCCCCGCACAGTGCCCTCCACTATGTCCTGACTGGTCCTCACCACTGAGACCAGGGGTTTGGTTTTGCCCTGATGCCTTCTGTGCTCCCCCACAGATGGACTTAGAGCTTGGGATGGAAATCTTAGTCCCGACCAACCCCTGGCTGCTCTTCCTCTCCCTGGAAAGACCATGTTCTGGTCTCCTGACACTTCCCATTGTGGAAGTCTTTCCACTGGATTTGGAAAAGTAGAGCTAATAATAGAAAGAAAGGAGAGAATTGTGCTGTGTGGGTCCGGCCTGAGGGCTCCTTACCATTCTCTTCTCCCCGGGCAATGGTGAGGGTGGATCACGACGGAAATAAGAGAGGCAGGGGGCTAATAGGAAATATAACTCCACGACAAATACCAGGGTGAGGAAGATATCCAACACCCGTGGTGTAAAGCTGGGCGTGTTTATCCACAAATCTCTAAGAAATTTTAGAGGAAACGGAATATTCGTCATCTGAATAGGTATGCTGCCTTCAAGCAACTGAGCTCTGGGCATTCCCTTGCAGACTAGGGACTGGGGCCTAGGCCTGCGTCACAGAGCTGGGGCCTTCACATCACAAAGGGCCTGTGTTGGGGGAGGGGCAGCGAGAGGGGGAGGCTGAAGCACAGCCCCTTCCCACCCTGCAAGCCCGGGATCCCTCCACCCTCCCACCTTCCAGATTCCTCCTTCCCACTAAGTTTTGTCAGTGACAGAACTCAGCCAATTTTCTGTTCTTTCTCCCTGGAACACAGATATTATCTGGTTCCTTTTATCTGTTGGAGATGATGGTATGAGGTTATCTACTTTATAATCCTTGGAAATCTGAAGTTGACTCTGAAACTTTGACTATGTACCAGGGATTTTTATTCTCAGAATCTCATTCGTCCTCAACTCCAGCTTTCCCACACAATGTTTTTGTCTTATATCAATCCAGGGACAAAATGTAAATTTGTTTTACTCTTATTTAGTTTTGTAAATTTTGAATAGTAAGGTTTTTTTTTTTAAAATTGTTTCCATTTCACTTTCAATCAAAGGGACCTACCCACATACAATTAAGATAATTTTTTAAAATTTTATTTGTGTGTTTATTTTCTTTATAGTTCTGGGGTACATGTTCAGGACAGGCAGTTTTCTTACACGGGTCAATGTGTACCATGGTAGTTTGCTGCATCTGTCATCCCATCACCTAGGTACTAAACTCAGCATGCATTAGCCATTTTTCCCAATGCTCTCCCTACCACTGCCCTCCCCCAACAAGTGCCAGTGTGTGTTGTTCTCCTCCCTGTGTCCACATGGTCTTGTTCAGCTATGACTTATAAGTGAGAATATATAATATTTGCTTTTCTGTCCCTGTGTTAGTTTGCTGAGGATAGTGGCTTCCAGCTTCATCTATGTGTCTGAAAAAGACATGATCTGATTCATTTTCATGGCTGCATGGTGCTCCATGGTGTATATATACCCCACATTTTCTTTATCCAGTATACCATTGATGAGCATTTGGGTTGATTCCATGTCTTTGCTGTTGTGAACAGTGTTGCAATGAACATACACATGCATGTATTTTTGTAGTAAAATGATTTATATTCCTTTAGATGTATAATGATATAAACACCATTATATATAATATGTAATATATAATGTAATGTATAATATATATTATAGCTGATTGATATATTCTAGCTAATGTAAATATAATATATAACATAATATATTTGGTTTGGATTTGCATTTCTTTCATCATCAGTGATGTTGAGCTTTTTAAAATATATTTGTAAATATATTTAAAACATATGACATATAATGTATGCATATATATATAGTGTATATGCAAATATATACTTTATATGCATATATACACAGTATATATATACATATATATTATATTCTTAATATATATACAATGTATGATATATACTATACCATATATACACATATGGTGTGTATATATATAGTATTAAGAGCCCAACCTCACTCTTTGCATGTGGATATATACGTAGTATATATACATAAACTAACTCAGACTGGATCAAAGGTCTAAACATAAGACTTAAAACTATAAAGGTCTTAGAAGAAAGCATAAAGGAAAAGTTTCGTGATTTGGATTTTGCAATGATTTTTTGGATTAAAGACACCAAAAGCACAGCCAATAAGAGAATAGATAGATTTAATCAAAACGAAAGTGTTTTGTGCATCAAAGGACACTCTCAATAGAGTGAAAAGGCAACTCATGGATTGCAGGAAAATATTTGCATATCATACATACATATATAAGATTAATATCAAGAATGTATAAAAAAATGCCATGTTGATACTTACAGGGCCCCTTGCTTTTACTTTTATTGCATTTGGATGATGTGTTTTTGCCCAGAGCTTTATTTTGTACCCATATCTGTTTCTATGTTACATTACCTATTTGTTCACAATAGACACCTTTGTTTTATTCGAATCCAACTTATAGTCTCTGTTGATAGAATTTCACCTCTATTTATTGTAATAATGATTTATCTGATTGTATGCCTTCCATTTGATGTTCACTATTTAGCTCTTTTTATTTTCTGCCTTTTCTTTATATATTTTGATTGGATGCATGATATTTCTGCTCATTGTTTCCATTCTGCACCCCATTTTTTCTGTTTTTTCCTGTGATGATTAGGAATGTTTTATCATAGGACATTATTAATTTTCTCTTTAGTGGCCTCTTGATCACATTGTCACATTGTCCTTTTTTGTAATTATATATATTTTTCAAGAATTATTACTGAACAGTATTTTCCTATTGAAGATTTCTCATGAGATTCATTTTACATTTATTTGGACTACTTCTTCCGGTATTTCTCTCAAAGATAGAGATACTCTCTGCAAGTGCTTTTATTTCTGAAAATGTCTCTCTCGCCCTGACAGAAGAGTGGTCTTTTAGTTGCTATTTCTGACATCATTTTGCTTTCAGTACTGCAAATGAGGAGTTTTCTTATTTCCTTCATTTTTTCTCTGAATAGTCTGGTTTTTCACACTTAGAAGTGTTTTCTGTTTATAAATTTATCCTATACATTCAATAATTTCCCCAGATTTGTTCATTGATTTAGTTCCTGTTTGCATGTGTGGAGGAGTTTATGGCCTAGTTTTGTCAGCGGTGGGAGATGTGTTTGTGTGCTAAGGCCCCAGTGCAGGTACAGGTGTGCCTAGGATTGGGACTCTTAGGATGTCTGATGGAGATACAGGCATGGAGGCCAGTCATGGGGACATGGGATTGATTGGTAGGGAGCCAGGACCATAAGAGTAGAGGAATTTAAGGCTCTCTGATCAGGAACTGTAGGATGAATGATTCAGGGCTCATGGGCAGCAAGGCATGGGAATCAGTGAATCTGAGATTTCAGTTATGGCTTTGGGATTAGAGTCACTGGGTAGCAATGGGCACTTAGAACAGATTAAAGAGTGAAAATGAGGAGTTAGTTACCAAGGTTGGTGCTAACTTAAAGGGCCTCTGAAATCAGATAGTATGATAATGTAATAGAACAGTATGTCCTTTGGATTTTTGATAAAATATTTAAGCAATCCACAATTATTAGATATTTAAATGTTTCTAATTGTATTTTGACAACCATCATGTTGAATAATCTTTCTTTTTAACCATTTTATGGTAAAATTTTGCCCTTCAATCTTTATACAACATGCGATGATGTGATGATATTTTAATGTTGTAGCTCTAGAAATAAATTTTTGAGCAAGGTACATGGGCACTAACTGATGTATGTGTCCATGGGTGACACTGGCACACTTCCTTCTCCCATCTGTACCTCTGCCCATCTGTTTTCTCAGATCTCTGCCCCTTCGTCCGAAGAGCCAAAAATGACCAAGTCCTTGGTAAGTTCTTATTTGTTCATCTATTTATTTGTTACTTTCTTTTACTTTTAGTGGATTTAGGAGACATCTAACAATCTCTATAGTAAGATGACAAGACTAGATAAATAAAAACTAAGATCAGAGAAAATGAAGAAGAGACTGTCAACCCCAGGTCAAGTTTAGAATATATGGTCCGACATGGTTATGATCTTTGAACTGTTAAATTGTCTCTGATCTTCCTGAAAGACATAGCAATAATGGAAATTGGATACATGGTTCCAATGTATCCATGGTTCCATGGATATTATTAACAAGCAATTTATCATGGTTCTTGATGTTTGAGAAATTTTTTGAGAGATCTTCAGATGGATAATGACAGAACAGTCTTCAAGAGTAACCATGTTGAAAGTGCACCAACAGGCCAGACTCGGTGGCTGATACGTGTAATCCCAGCACTTTGGGAGGCCAAGGTGGGTGGATCGCCTGAGGTTGGGAGTTCGAGACCAACCTGGCCAACATGGTGAAACCTCATCTCCACCAAAAATACAAAATTTAGCCAGGCGTGGTGTCGTGTACTTGTAATCCCAGCTACTCAGAAGGCTGAGGCAGGATAATTGCTTGAACCTGCAAGTTGGAGGTTGCAGTGAGCCGAGATTGTGCCATTGCACTCCAGCCTGGGCAAGAGAAAAACTCTGTCTCTAAAAAGAAAAACAGAGAGGGCGGGGGGATGGAGGGAGGGAGGGAAGAAAGTAGCCCAAACAGTTTTTTTGTTTTTGTCTTAAAGAAAAGTGTTTCTGACACTTTACTTGCATTTGAATTCAGATTCTGATTTAGTAGATATGGGATGGAATATGAGTCTTTCACCCAGGCTGCAGTGCAGTTCTGCCATTTCGGCTCACTGCAACCTCTGCCTCTCAGGTTCAAGCAATTCTCCTGCCTCAGCCTCCTGAGTAGCTGGGACTCAGCTTTTTTTACTGAGTAGCTGGTGCCATCACCTTTGCTAATTTTTGTGTTTTCAGAAGACACAAGATTTCATCATGTCGGCCAGGCTGGTCTTGAACTCCTGACCTCAAGTGATCCACCCACCTTGGCTTCCCAAAGTGCTGGGATTAGAAATGTGAGCTACTGCTTCCGGCCTAACATTTTATAAATGTTCTTTTTTTTTTTTTTTGAGATGGAGTTTCGCTCTTGTTACCCAGGCTGGAGTGCAATGGCGCGATCTCGGCTTACTGCAACCTCCGCCTCCTGGGTTCAGGCAATTCTCCTGCCTCAGCCTCCTGAGTAGCTGGGATTACAGGCACGTGCCACCATGCCCAACTAAGTTTTTGTATTTGTAGTAGAGATGGGGTTTCACCATGTTGACCAGGATGGTGTCGATCTCTTGACCTAGTGATCCACCTGCCTCGGCCTTTCAAAGTGCTGGGATTACATGCTTGAGCCACCGTGTAACTTAATTTTTCAAAGTTCCTAATACTTTAAAGAGAACTGGAGTGTGGGCTAGAACTTACTTTGGGCCCCAGCTTGTGCCGGCTTTAGATAGCTTTAAATGTTTCCCACCTTCCATTACAATGAAAGACAGGCAAACCTAGGCGAGGCCCTCCTGACTCAGCACTGCAGGGCATCTTTAAAGGAATGCAATTGCAATGGGAAATTAAGGCAAGGAGCTGTCTCTAAGGCCTACAAAATTATTGATATGTAAACAGTATAAAAGTCACTTGGAGTGATTAGAGCAGGAACCAAGCAGGCCTAGAAACATGTTGGAAACACTTGGAAAAATTTTGTTAAAAGGAGAAGTAATGTCGGGTACTCAAAAGTATTAAAATTTCATGTCTTGTAAAGCTAGTCTATACTTTGTCCTGACAGTCCTGATTAATGGGGAAATTGCTGGGATCTTAGTTTATTTCAATTCCTAGAATCCAGAATTAGCATGCTGGATAGGAACTTAGAGGCAGATTACACAGTTCAACCCCTTCCTTGCAGTATGAGAAGAGAACACTAAGGCCCAGAAGGACTACACCTGTAATCCCAACATTTTGGGAGGCTGAGGTGTGTGGATCACTTGAGCCCAGGAGCTTGAGACCAGCCTGAGCAACATGGTGAAACACCATTTCTACAAAAAAACAGAAAAATTAGCCAGGTGTGGTGGTGTGTGCCGGTAGTCGAAGCTACTCCAGAGGCTTAGATGGGAGGATCATTTGAGCAGGAGGTTGAGGCTGCAGTGAGCTGTGATTGCACCTCTGTACTTCAGCCAGGTGGCAGAGTGAGACCCTGTCTCAAAATGAATGAATGAATGAATAAATAATAACTAGCTTGGTATAGAATTGAACTTCAATCCCAGGCTCCTGACTCCAAGACCAGTTATGATAGTTTTCTAAAGAGTTTGGTGTTGTAATCCCAGCACTTTGGGAGGCCGAGGCGGGTGGATCACGAGGTCCATAGATCGAGACCATCCTGGTCAACATGGTGAAACCCCGTCTCTACTAAAAATACAAAAAATTAGCTGGGCACGGTAGTGCGTGCCTGTAATCCCAGCTACTCAGGAGGCTGAGGCAGGAGAATTGCCTGAACCCAGGAGACGGAGGTTGCGGTGAGCCAAGATCGCGCCATTGCACTCTAGCCTGGGTAACGAGCGAAACTCCGTCTCAAAAAAAAAAATAAAAAATAAAATAAAAAATAAAAAAAAAATAAAAAGAGTTTGGTGTAACCCTGACATTTTCAGTCAAGTTGTTCTGCATTGCTTGTTAGTAATCAGAAAAGGGAATTAGATTGCTAACGTTTTTCTTTTCTTTAACACAGAAAGTCCCCTTACAGAATCCTCCCATTAAGTGGGCTGAAGGATATAAGGGAGTATTTAAATACAGAAGTGCAAGCTGTTTCTTCTGTGCATACCCAGGTAAGAAAAGTCAAGGTTAATAATGAAGGTAAAGGTGCAGCAGAGGAGCGTTTGATGGACAGGCCATACAAACTCAATGAAAATCCTTTTCTACACATAAATAAAAAAAAATCCTGTAGTTCTTTGTGGGGACACGCAAATCTGTTTAGGTTTCATGTGTCATTGGAATAGAAAGACCTTACAAAACCACTGAGTACAGAAAGGAAAGAACCTAGTACCTGCACTGTTGCTTGAGAAACTTTGCAGGGAGACTTGATTTGAAACTCTCATCTGCTGTTATCTCTTTTCCCTCTGTAATTCTGCTACTTTACCAGACTTTAAAAAGAAATTTCATTCTCCCTCCTTTGCCTGCCACTGTCTGGGTTCTGCATACTTACCTGGTATGCAGACCTCTGCTTACAGAACATGTCAGAGCCTAAATTATTTTTTCTTTAGCTAATAATTATTGAAAGGTCCAATCTTGTGCACCTCATTTTACAAAGAAGTTCATAACCTCAGTCTAAAACATCATATTTTAGGACTTCTGGTTTGAAACCTGGATAAGAGGTGCTACCCATAAAGAGCTATTCGGTTGTGTTTATGAATCCACTGGTGAACATTGATGGGACGAAACCCCATGAGCCCTGCCTTCTTCCTTCCTGGGACAACCACCTGGAGAAGTTCTTCACCCTCTGCCACTCCCTGGAGAGCCAGGTGACCTTCCCCATCTGCGTGCTGGATCAGAAGATCAGTGAGATGGCACTGGAGCACAAGCTGAAGCTCAGCATCATCTGCCTGAACTCTTGCCTGGAGCCGCTCGTGCTCTTCCTGCACCTGGTGCTGGACAAGCTCTGTCTGTGCAGCCCATGGTCATCGCTGCCCAGACAGGTACGAACCAGCAGGGCTGGGCTGGGAGGAGGCAGGGGCAAGCAAGCATTGCCTCCTTTAATGAATCCTGACTTTCCAGAAATCCAGAGACAATGTGATCTTCCTTTCCACTGATGACATGTGTTCAAGGGAGGCCAAGTCTTGTGCTATTTTTATTTTAGACTCTGCATATTGGAAAGAAAAAGAAACATTGAAATAGGGTTCTTAATATTATAGCTTTTTGTAAACTTTATTAAATGAATATTGGCAGTCTTTCAAATTCTGTTTCTGGTCATTGATAAATTTATTTTCCCTTTAAGATATTTTTGTTTTCTTGACTAACAGGAAATGGAACATTTTAAAGTAAGACAACCTATGTTAAATGGAGTGAAGGATCACTTAAACAGAATGCAATCAATTGTTAAAGTTAAAACATAAACTCACTATTTTAAAGCATATAGTTCAGTGGTTTTTAGCATTTTCACAAGGTTGTACAATGATCGCTGTGACCTACTTTCATAACATTTTCATCAGCTCCAAATAAAGCCCCATACCCTTTCACAGTCATTGTCTGTTCATCCCTCCTACAGAACTCATCCCTTCTCTCTCTAACAGTCTATTTTAAATGCTTACTTTTGGCCAGGCACGGTGGCTCACACCTGTAATCGCAGCACTTTGGGAAGCCCAGGTGGGTGGATCCCAAGATCAGGAGATCGAGACCATCCTGGCTAACACAGTGAAACCCCATCTCTACTAAAGATACAAAATATTAGTCGGGTGTGGTGGCACACACCTGTAGTCCCAGCCACTCGGGAGGCTGAGGCAGTAGAGCTGCTTGAACCCAGGAGGTGGAGGTTGTAGTGAGCTGAGATCACACCACGGCACTCCAGCCTAGGCAATAGAGCAAGATTCTGTCTCAAAACAACAACCACAACAATAAAGCTTACTTTTAATAAAGTAACACTAAGTACAATGTGTACATTTTCCCTTGGAAATAATCTCAAAAGCTTATACTGGAGGCAAGACCAGGGTCCAGTGGCTCTTCTAACTCCTCCAGGGTAGACTGGCTGGTGTAGAGCATCTTTATTTGCCGCCATTTTCAGCTGTGCCTGGATAGCTCTTTGCTCTCCAGTCCAGCCAATGTCTTTTGGGTACCATCCATATGCCCAGTATTGTACTAAAACTTACAGGCTTTGTGACAATAACCAAGAGCACCTCAGACCTCAGAGGACTTAATATGGCAAAGAGCCAGCAGCCCAGGACGAAAAGTCCTCAAAGGGACACAGCTAAATTTTACAGTGGTGGTGGGGAGGGTGATATCAAAGGGGAGAGTGAGAAAACATCCATCAGGGAGGATTCAGAGGTCCATATGAAGAAATAATAGGATGAGGCCAGGGCAGTGACTCATGCCTGTAATCCCAGTCCTTTGGAAAGCTGAGGCAGGATTGCTTGAGGCCAGGAGTTCAAGACCAGCCTGGGCAACATAATGAGACCACAGCTCTAAAAGAAAAAAGAAAAGAACAAAGCAAAATAATATTTATTAAAAAATTATTGGCCACTCAGAAGCTGAAATATATTAAACTTTTTAACAACTTCTCAGTGTAGGCATTATTATGTATACTAGAAGTTATAAAAATAAAAGTTTTTTGACCTCAAGGAAAAAGAATATATGAACAAATAATACTGTATGATAAAGGCAACCATAAATGTACAAAGTACAGAGGTGCAGAGGTGTCTGAGTGATGGATTCCATCTAAGGTAGTCAGGAGGTCTTTCTGGGATGGTGGCATTTGTCTGGGGTTTTGAAGGATAAATTCCTAGTGAACAAGGTGGAGACAGCATGAGCAATGACACATAGGAATCCTATACTAGGATGTGTTCAAAGGTCTGTAAGTAAATCTATGTGGCTAGAGCTTAAAGTGTAAGACAGATGTAACACAAAAGCATCTGAGACAGGACTCAATCAATTTAGAAGTATATTTTGCTAAGGTTAAGGACATGCACACAGGAGACAGGTCTGTGCCTTTTGCCAAAGATGACTTTTGAGAGCTTCAATATCTAAAGGGGAAAGGGGTGGATACTGGGGAGAGGAGAATTATTATTATTATTTTGAGATGGAGTTTCACTCTTGTTGATCAGGCTGGAGTACAGTGGCGTGATCTTGGGTTACTGTAACTCCGCCTGCTGGGATCAAGCGATTCTACTGCCTCAGCCTCCCAAGTAGCTGGGATTATAGTCATGCATCATCACACCCAGCTAATTTTTGTATTTTTAGCAGAGATGGGGTTTCTCCATGTTGGTCAGGCTGGTCTCAAAATCCCAACCTCAGGTGATCAGCCTACCTTGGCCTCCCGAAGTGTGGGGATTACAGGTGTGAGCTACCCAGCCGGGCTGAAAAATTTTTTAGAGGTGTGAGCAGATAAGAGGCAAATGGTGGTACTCCTTTGAGTCTTTGATTAGCCATTGACACGTGAGATGGGGGTAGAGCGATAGGCACTTATGCATTCATCTAGATCAATGAATCTGCATTTTTACAAAAGACAAAATAAACATAGGCCAGAGGAAGCAATCACATATTGTCTCAGGTGAGCAGAGGGATGATTTTTGATTTCTGTCCTATGTCCCACACCTGTGAATATAAGCTATCAATTTACATTGTGATGGTGAAATTCAACAGAACTGTTTTAGGGTAAAAACCTTCAGGCTCACAAGAAATTTCCTAGTGGGTAAATTGTGAGGGAGGTATGTAGCTTTTTTGTTTTGTTTTCTTTTGAGACACGGTCTCACTCTGTTGCCCAGGCTGGAGTTCAGTGTCTCCATTATAGCTCACTGCAGCCTTGACCACCCAGGCCCAAACGATCCTCCCACCTTAGCCCCGCAAGTAGCTGGGACTACAGGCGCATGCCACCATGCCTGACTAATCTTTGTATTTTTGTAGTTTTTGTACAGACAGGGTTTCACCATGTTGCCCAAGCTGGTCTCAAACTCCTGGGTTCAAGTGATTGCCTGCCTCAGCCTCCCAAGGTGCTGGGATTACAGGTAGGAGACACTGCGCCTGGCCTATGTAGCTTATCTTTGAATAAGAGGCAGGTTTGTGTGACACAGTCCCCAGCTTGACTTTTCCGTTTGGCTTAGTGATTTTGGGGTCCCAAGATCTTTCTTTTCTCACAGGTAAAGACCAGAAGAGGCTGGTGAGAAAGAGACAGCAGTGAGATCCTGAATAAAGGTAAATTGAATCCTGGAGGGAACCAAACAAAACCCTGAAAACTTCCAGGAATCTCAGGTTGGCCAAATCCATGGTAATGTAGTGCTACTCCCCAGGATGGCCACACTGCACATACCTTATCTAAAGGGAACCTCTTGCAGAGGCCAAGGAAAAACATCCCCTTTGTCCTCTGGAGGTTCACTGGAAAATCAACTGCAAAAAGCAAATTAACAGGGAAAAAGATGTACATGCATTATTATAAAAAAATTATTGTGCATGTGGGGGAACTGCAGAGTAATTACTCCACCTCTCAGTGGGTTCAGAAGCTTATATACCCCTCCTGAGGTTACAGTAAATTTGGGGGCTCACAGAATGGCCCAAAACAGGTAATGGTGGTAAATCAGGATTTAGTGGCAAGACAGAAATGGAGACTTGGCTACCAATATCATCTCATGTAGATCAGGGGTTACCAACCCTCGGGCCATTTACATTGTGGCCATTTACATGCCTGTTAGGAACAGGACAGCACAACAAGAGGTGAGCAGCTGGTGAGTGAGCATTACCTCCTGAGCTCTGCTGCACATGCAAGGGATCTAGGCTGCAGCTCCTTATGAGAATCTAATGCCTGATTATCTGAGGTGAAAGAGTTTCATCCTGAAAACCATCCCATGGCCGCGGTCCATGGAAAAATTGTCTTCCATGAAACCTATCCCTGGTCCTGAAAAGGTTGGGGACTGCTGATGTAGATGAAACTTCACATGTAGCAGCCATTGTATGAGAATAGATGGTTAATGTTTCTTTCAGACCTTTATTTTATTATATTATATTTTTATTTATTTATTTATTTTTGTAAGGCTAGTCAAGTGAAGCAATGGGAGTGGAGAAGGAATAAAATCTGTAACTGGTTGTGATCAATTAGTTGTAAACACCACTGCACTCGGACCAGCCTATGTATTTATTTTTTGAGATGGATTCTTGCTCTGTCACCCAGGCTGGAGTGCAGTGGTGCAATCTTGGCTCACTGCAACCTTCACTTCCCAGGTTCAAGTGAGTCTCCTGCCTCAGCCTCCTGAGTAGCCAGGACTACAGGCGCCCGCCACCATACCTGGATAATTTTTGTATTTTCAGCAGAGACAAGGTTTCACCATATTGGCCAGGCTGGTCTCGAACTCCTGACCTTGTGATCCTCCCACCTCAGCCTCCCAAAGTGCTGGGATTACAGGCGTGAGCCCCCATGCCTGATTTCTTTGAGACCTTTAAAGGTATCAGATTCTCCATTAATCTTCCCTATATCTGGACAAGGGAAAGCCTCAGAGAATGCCTGGCTGCATCAATGCAGATTTTCTCCAAATATGCAAGCCTCTCCCAGAAAAAAACAGCTTTGTAGGACTATTTCTGCCTGCAAGTCCTCTGAACAGCCATCTCAAAATATGTGAAAGAAGTACATTTTGGAGTGAAGTTTTTTGGTTTCTTTAACTATGCATCCTTCCTGGGGTGTTATTCTGGCCACTGGTTTCATGTACTCAGACTCACAAAGTTGAAAGAGTTGGGAGTGCAGAATTCAATGTGCTTCATCCTTTGCATGCTTGAAGAGTCTCTGGTTCCCAAACTTAGTCCCTGGCCTCTGCTTCAAAGGCAAATAAAGGGAAAAAGAATCTTGCTCAACCTTAAGAGAGGAAATGACTCAACAGGTTTAAAACAAAAAAATAAAAAGGAAAAAGATGGAGGCATTTTGTAGGTGAAAGGGCAAGAGTCTTCTGATGCAAAATAAGAGGTCATTAGAGCAGGGCTGGATTACCAATAAGCTGACCAAACATTTGCTTAGGAAACAAACAAGGCTGAACATGAAAAAGCAAAGAAAAACATAGTAATCTGGTTGCTTCAAACACTGAAGATGGCAACATAGGAAAAAACCCAAGCCAGAACTTTTTTGGATTTCCTAACACATATTTTATGGTTTAGTATTTATGGATTGGTATTATATTTTATTTTGAATTACATGAGGGGAGGAGGGGGAAAATACTATAATTTTTCTTGCTAAGTAAGGACCATTATATATTCAGGTATAATGGAATAAGGGAGACCCTTTTAATGGGTGAGTTTGGAGTTTTAAATATGATCAACAGTATCTGTGTGCATGCAAGACTGGTTAAGAAATTGGGGTAAAAACCTCTGAGGGCTTCCTACAGTTTAAACTCCAAAGCTTGACAAAGCCGGCCCCTGGTACTCCAGCGCTGTGGGCTCCTCCCCAGATTCCCCGTGCTAGAGAGGGATGACCTGAGGCGCTGCGCGCCTGCTCCCTTCCCACCTCCGAACTCGACTCTGCCTTACCCTCCCTGCGATCTGGGGGAGGCGGAGGCCCGACAACTTCATCTGGAGATCCCCTCTCACTGAGGAAGAAGTCCCACGAGACAGACCTACCTGGCCCCGGGCGGTGACACAACTTGTTTGCTTAAATAATTGCTTCTAAATCCGCGCGTTTTACACAGGAAAAAAAAAAAAAAATAGGATTCAGATGATGATTTCAAAGTCGTCTTTGAAAAACAATGCATAACCCCTCACACGTAAAGTTGCCTATCTCACATAAGCCTACGCAGCTATCATTCTAGAGTGATCTCAAGTCTTGTCTTTTTTTTTTTTTTTTTTTTTTTTTAAGACAAGGCCTTACTCTGTCACTCAGGCTGGAGTCCAGTGGTGCGATCTTAACTCCTAGCTGCCTGGATCGCCAGTGCTCAAACGATTCTCTCACCCTCAGCCTCCCCCACCCCACCCCCAACCCCGCCAAACAGCTGGGACTAGCTGAGCCTACAGAAGCACGCACCCGGCTACTTATTTTTTTTGTATTTTGGGAAAGACAGGGTTTTGCTATGTTGCCCTGGCTGGTCTCGAACTCCTGACCTCATGTGATTCGCCCGCATCGGCCTCCCAAAGTGTTAGGATTACAGGCGTGAGCCACTGCGCCCAGCGTCCTCAAAACTTTTAAAAGTTATTAGTTCGCTATAAATAACTGCGGAGAAGCCATTGTGCAGCGCCACTTGATCTCGGTTCACTGCAGCCTCGTCCTCCCAGGCGCAAGCGAACCTCCCATCTTAGCCCCGCAAGTAGCTGGGGCCACATGGGCGCGCCACGACTCTGGGCTATTTTTAAATTTTTTAAATAAAAAAAAAAAAAAAAATCGGTCGGGCGCGGTGGCTCAAGCCTGTAATCTCAGCACTTTGGGAGGCCGAGGCGGGTGGATCACGAGGTCAACAGATCGAGACCATCCTGGTCAACATGGTGAAACCCCGTCTCTACTAAAAATACAAAAAATTAGCTGGGCATGGTGTCGCCGTGCCTGTAATCCCAGCTACTCAGGAGGCTGAGGCAGGAGAATTGCCTGAACCCAGGAGGCGGAGGTTGCGGTGAGCCGAGATCGCGCCATTGCACTCCAGCCTGGGTAACAAGAGCGAAACTCCGTCTCAAAAAAAAAAAAATCTTAGCAAGGTTGGTCTCGAACTTTCGGGCTCGACAGATTCTCTCGCCACAGCCTCCAAAAGTATTGTGATTACAGGCGTGAGCCATCATGCCCGGCCACTTTCACTTATAAAGAGTTCTATTCTGAGGACTAACGTCATTCAACACGTTAATGTAAATTTGTTTTCGTTTCCCATTTGCCCCGGGTCTCTTAAGACCCCGACCCCAGGCAGGGCTACCCTAACTCTCAGCTTCCCCAGGCAGGACCCCCTGCCCCGCTCCCGACAGGCTCCTCTCCTGGCAGCAGGGCCCCTCACCCAGGCAGCACACCGTCTCCCTGGGACCCTGCCCTCACTGGGACGTCCCCAAGGGCAACACTCCGGCTTGGGACCCGGTGCAACGCTGCGGGTCACGTGCTGCGGAGGCGCGGGGAGGGGCGGCGAGGCGGGGTTTATAGCTCTGGCGCCTGCGGGCCCCACGTTTTTGCCGGGGTCGTGGCTGCGGGAATCGCCTTCGGGACGCGCCTGCTCTTCGCCCATCGCTGCCGTCCTACGGTGAGTGAGCGCCCACTCGGTGTCTCAGCGAGCCGGTCCGGAGCCCCCAGCGGCGCCCAGATGGGGTGGGTGGCTCCCCGGGGCCTCGGGGCCGCTGCTTTGCTCCCCGCGGGGCTCTAAGGTGCACGGGACGGCGGGGGTGGTGGTCAGGGACCCCGCCCACCTCGCGGCTTCCAGGTCCTGGCTGGGTGGGTGCAGACTCCTGGTCCCGCGCTTTCAACCCTCGCCTTTGTGCGTTGAGCCTTCTTTCCTGCCAACGGATTGAGGGCGAGTGCTATCAAATGACCCTTGGCCCGCCTAGATGGTTGTGGGGAAACAATTAACATTTGTCGAAGGTACAGTATCGAAAGGGAAATGCTTCAGAAAGCCGATTTTTTTTTTCTTTTTGAGTCTCTGTCGCACACACTGGAGTGCAGTGGCGCTATCTTGGCTCACTGCAACCTCCACCTCCCAGGTTGAAGCGATTCTCCTCACTCAGCCTTCGGAGAAGCTGGGATTACAGGCGCGCACCACCATGACCGGCTAATTTTTGTATTTGTAGCAGAGCCTGGGTTTCACCATGTTGATCAGGATGGTCTTGAACTCCTGCCCTCAAGCAATCCACCTGCCACAACCTCCCCAGGTGCTGGGATTACTAAAGCCGTAAGCCACCGTGCCCGGCCTGAAAACCATATTTTATGGGTACACATTTTGTGGGTACAGAATGGGAGTGGGCTGCCTTACTGGCGTCTCTTCCGCCTTCAGGGTAGTGGTGGCTTATTTCTTGCAGAAGTGGAATCTTGGTCAGGGGAGGGTGTGCTGGCCGGCCCGAACAGAGGACAGCGAGCAGGTTCTTTCCCTCCCAGCTCTGCTGGCTTTGTGTAGGGATGGGCTTTGGGGATACTAAGGTGACTTTTAAAGGGGTCCTGAAATGCTTCTTCCTCAGAGCACCTCCTTGCTCTCGGGCGTAGTTTTCTCCTAAACTAGCTTTCGTCCCTTCACAAGGAAGTTTTAATATGTCCCCGCAGCCGGGCGTGGTGGCTCAAGCCTGTAATCCCAGCACTTTGGGAGGCCGAGGCGGGTGGATCACGAGGTCAATAGATCGAGACCATCCTGGTAAACATGGTGAAACCCTGTCTCTACTAAAAAATACAAAAAATTATCTGGGCATGGTATCGCGTGCCTGTAATCCCAGCTACTCAGGAAGCTGAGGCAGGAGAATTGCCTGAACCTAGGAGGTGGAGGTTGCGGTGAGCCGAGATCGCGCCATTGCACTCCAGCCTGGGTAACAAGAGCAAAACTCCATCTCAAAAAAAAAAAAAAAATGTCCCCGCAAAGGGTTCCCACTTGATAGTCCTGTGATCCCCAGAAGAATCCAGGCAGACCAAGATATCTTCTATTTGAAATCTCTCTTTAGTCCTAACCTGGATTTTAATTTGGCTAGCATTTTTGTGAACAGATCCTGCCCTTCAAAAGGCATCTCTATATCTCGGTGGAGAAACAAGACAAGTATATCAACAACTTTGCTTTTCCCTCCTGAGTATTGCAAGTTTACACATAAACTCTGAAACCTTGCCTCAGAAGAGGGAGTGGGGTTGTGTGGGTGTGGGTCTCTCAGGAGGGAGACTCTGAGAGCTGGAGAGTGGAAAGAAGTGCAGAAGACTACACAAAACTCATCTTGATTTTTTTTCTCTACATGAAATCAGCATTTGCTTGCGTTTGGGAACAAATTTGGGAGAGTCTTATCCCAGTGTTCTGAAATAAGTCTCTTTTCTGCAGATTTCTCTCTCCAGGAAGAAAAATGGCATCCGTTGCAGTTGATCCACAACCGGTATGAATTTTGAGTAACCTTTGCCTACTTTCTCTCCTCTTGTGTTTTGAGAGATTAACAAGCCCACCCTCCCTACTTTGATTGCAGAGTGTGGTGACTCGGGTGGTCAACCTGCCCTTGGTGAGCTCCACATATGGCCTCATGTCCTCAGCCTATGTCAATACAAAGGACCAGTATCCCTACTTGAAGTCTGTGTGTGAGATGGCAGAGAAGGGCGTGAAGACCATCACCTCAGTGGCCCTGACCAGTGCTCTGCCCATCATCCAGAAGCTAGAGCCGCAAAGTGAGTTCTGATTTTTCAAGATGCAGTCAAGGGACTGGTCAGTGGTAAGCCCCTGAGCTCATAGCAGTAACATCAGGGACTCCTCAGCCCTTCCTGGGGCATACGTTGCCTTTACCTAGAAACTTTCAGGTGACCCTCATTATCATAGAAGGCCTGTTTCTTTTTTCTTTTTCTTTTTTTTTTTTTGAGACAGAGTCTCGCTCTGTTGCCCAGGCCGGAGTACAGTGGTATGATCTCAGCTCACTGCAACCTCTGCCTTTCGGGTTCAAAAGATTCTCCTGCTTCAGCATCCTGAGTAGCTGGGACTACAGGTGCCTGCCACCATGCCCAGCTACTTTTGTATTTTTAGTAGAGATGGGGTTTCACAGTATTGGCCAGGCTGGTTTTGAACTCCCGAACTTGTGAGCCACCACGCCTGGCCATAGAAGGCCTGTTTCATAGCATTGGCAGTTTATGACACTTCAAGTAAAACTCTATGAGAAATCTCATACTCTCATACTCAGTATTCTCTCCCTCATTTCCTTCCAACCACCCTGAGGCAGCTAATCTACTTTGTCTTTATAGATTTGCCTATGCTGGATATTTCTTATAAATGAAATCATAAAATGTGTGAGTTTTTTGTGACTGGCTTCTTTCATCCAGCATAATGTTTTGAAAGTTAGATTAACCCTCAAAACATTATGCTGGATGAAAGGGATAAAAAGGGATGAAGCAGTAACTTCCACACTTTATTGTGGAATAGTAATTTACTGTCTAGACAGACAATATTTTGTTTATTAATTCCTCAATTAATGGATGTTTGGGTTCCTTCTACTTTTGGACATTATGTATAATGCTTCTGTGAACATTTGTATACAAGTTTTATGTGGACATATGTTTTCAGTTTTTTTTGGTATGTACCTAGGAGTGGAATTGCTGGGTTATATGATAACTGTTTAAGCTTTTGAGCTGCCAGACTGTTTTCCAAATCAGCTGTACCATTTTACATTGCCACCAACACTATATGGAGGGTCCAATTTCTCCACACCATGAACTGCTTTTGAATAAAGGTTCAAATCATTCCTCCCTCAAATAGTTAAGCCAGGGACTTTTAGGATTATCAAGAGCCTTTAGAGAGCTGCCATTCCAACTCTGCTACTTTCTAAATGAATTTGGTGCTAGTACTTGGCTTGGTATTCTTAGAAGGAAGCTCACACTAAAATCTCCCTTGTTAGGAAGATACAGGGTTGTCCTAGCATACTCTTTCCCCATGAGAACCCCAAATACACTGTCATGTGCTGAGGTAAGTGTAGGTAGGGATTCAACTGGCACGGGAATGCTAATTTTGAGAGCATTTTCAGGGAAAGCCTTATTCTCTGAATGAGAGTTCAGGGAAAGCCTGGCTATTCTTGGCATTAACATTAGGGGCCAGTTGATGAGGAAGAAGCTTCAGAGCCAGCTTCCTGTTTGGCCTTTCATTGCCTCTGCCTGCTCCTCCCTCACACCCCCGTGTTTCCTTATCTGCAGAAGAAAGTTGCCAGCCACTTGCCAGGTCTCCTGCTGTCAGAGCTAGAGAAACCAAGCAATGCATTCTGTGGTAAAAGATCAACGTTCTTGCCGTTTTTATAAGGCTAAAACTATAAGGTATGGTAATGTGTTCATTCTGTATGTACACACTACATTAACACTTTCCTATTTGTGATTTTAGTTGCAGTTGCCAATACCTATGCCTGTAAAGGGCTAGACAGGATGGAGGAGAGACTGCCTATTCTGAATCAGCCATCAACTCAGGTGAGCTTGGAACAAAAGTGCTGAGGCTTGACACCTCACATGTTTTCATCTTCTATCTGTTAGCACCAGCTGTACATACCACAAGTAGGCAAATACTTGTTTTTCCAACCTGAATCTGGATGTGTGTTTGGAAGAGGAATGGCCACTTCCTTACTTCCTGAACTGTTGTCAAGTTGTTTCTATGAAACAGAGAACTAGCTAGCCTGCTTTGGATTAGAAAACTTTTAGTGTGATCTCTATCAATTTGTGTCTTTGTTCCTGCAGATGAAATTGTTGTCTCAAATAACTGATTCCCTTGTGGTGTTACATAAATGCAAAGGTGTTATATAGAACCTTTTCTCACCTGGCTTGTACAGTGCTGCTAGGAACTACCATCCATATCGGATAGCTAGCCAGTGTTGATGACAATGATAGCTTATCTGTCCTGGTGATCCTTTAGTTCAGATAATGCCCTAAAATTTTGTTTCAAATTAAGAATACAGAATGGCACAAAAGGGTGCAAGTTAGGGAAAAATAGAGCTCTATCATTTTTTCGTAATCTAAATACAGTCATCTGTCACTTAATGGTGGGAATATGTTTTGAGAAATGCATCATTAGGTGAGTTTGCCATTGTTTGAACATCATGGAGTATAGTCTCACAAACCTAGATGGTAGAGCCCAGTAGTCCCCAAGGTTTTTGGCACCAGGGACTAACAGTCCCAGCTACTCCGGAGGCTGAGGCAAGCGAATCCCTCAAACCAGGAGGCGGAGGTTGTGGTGAGCTGAGATTGTGCCATTGTACTCCAGCCTGGGAAACAAGAGTGAAACTCCGTCTCAAAATAAATAAATAAACAAATAGAAAGAAATGAAAAATTTCATTGAGTTATTGAAAGCCAATAGTTTTCAATAGTTTTAAGAAGACCTTCCCCCAAGGTATTAACAAGTAATTTAGAGAAGGTTTTCTTGTCAGTGTTCCCTGTGGCTATGTGCCATCCTTCCTCCAGGTTCCCTCTATCATTGTATCCTCTAAACACAGACAATTGCAGCCGGGTGTGGTGGCTCACACCTGTAATCCCAGCACGAGGTGGGTGGATCACGAGGTCAAGAGATCGAGACCATCCTGGTCAACATAGTGAAACCCTGTCTCTACTAAAAATACAAAAAATTAGCTGGGCATGGTGGTGCTTGCCTGTAATCCCAGCTACTGAGGAGGTTGAGGCAGGAGAATTGCCTGAACCCAGGAGGCGGAGGTTGCAGTAAGCTGAGATCGCACCATTGCACTCCAGCCTGGGTAATGAGCGAAACTCTGTCTCAAAAAAAAAAAAAAAAAAAAAAAACACAGATAATTGCAAATTAATAACACCCAGAGGGCCAGGTATAGTTTGATCTTCAGTTTCCTCTCTAGATTTATGTGACTTTGGAATAAGCTATATAACCTTTTCTCTTTTTTTTTGAGGCAAGGTCTTGCTCTGTCACCCAGGCTGAGTGCAATGGCACAATCATGGCTCACTGCAGCCTTGACAAACTGACAAATTTCCTATCTGTTTACCTCATTTATTCCTCCAACAATTCCCAAGGATTGGCAGGTAGGGCAAATACATTTGATAGGGAAAATCAGGCTCATCAACTCTTAGTGACTTGCCCAAGACCTAAAGCTAGAGAGTGAGAGAACTAGATGCCTTCTCTAACTCTTCAGCTGTGCTGCCTTAGTTAAGACTATGTATGTCCTTGTGCTCATGTTTCTCACCAGCCAAGGGATCTGCTTTTCTACTTCTAGGTTGTTGCCAATGCCAAAGGTGCTATGACTGGGGCAAAAGATGCTGTGACGACTACTGTTACTGGGGCCAAGGATTCTGTGGCCAGCACGATCACAGGGGTGATGGACAAGACCAAAGGGGCAGTGACTGGCAGTGTGGAGAAGACCAAGTCTGTGGTCAGTGGCAGCATTAACACAGTCTTGGGGAGTCGGATGATGCAGCTTGTGAGCAGTGGCGTAGAAAATGCACTCACCAAATCAGAGCTGTTGGTAGAGCAGTACCTCCCTCTCACTGAAGAAGAACTAGGTAACTGGAATTTTCCCTTGAAATACTGTTTTATTAATCTTTTTTAAACAGCTCCATTGAGATATACTCTTGTCTTTAGTCTAAATTTACACAGTTGTGCAACCATCACCACACTCCTGTTTTAGAATATTTCCGCTACCCCAAAAGACCCTCATGCTTGTTTGCAGTTCTTTTTATTTTATTTTTTATTATATAGAGATGGGGTCTCACTATGTTGCCCAGGCTGATCTCGAGCTCCTGGGCTCAAGTGATCCACCTGCCTTGATCTTCCAAAGTGCTGGGATTATAGATGCGAGCCACCACAGCCGGCAATCAATCCTTATTTCCTCCCAAGGCAACCACTAATCTTTTTGCCTCTGTAGATTTTTCCTTCCTAAAGCAATCATAAATTTCACATTGAATTGTACATAGTATGTTTTGAAAGTTTAGTAAAAATGGGACTTGGGAAATATTTTTTGTAAATGGATTATCTTTAATGGATTGTTTTATAAAATTCTTATTACAAAGAATCATCATTAGATAATGTGTGCCAGGTAGCATGCGGCTCAAGTACACTCTAGGCTAGGCGCAATGGTGCATGCCTATAATCCCAGCACTTTGGGAGACTGAGACGGGCAGATTGCTTGAGTTCAGAAGTTTGAGATTAGCCAGGGCAACATGGCGAAACCCTGAAAATGCAAAAATTAGCTGGACATGGTGGCTTGTGCCTATAGTCGCAGCTACTTGGGAGGCTGAAGTGAGAGGATCAGTTGAGCCTGGGAGGTTGAGGCTACAGGGAGCCAAGATTGTGCCACTGCACTCCAGCCCAGGCGACAGAGTGAGGCTTCATCTCAAAAAAGTAGTTTTACTCTGGTGGAAGAAACGTGTAGATAGATGCATGCAGTGTGTATCAGATACAGTAATATGTTCAAGATAGTCAAGTCCATCAGCAGACATAAGCAGTTTTGGAAACATGACTGCATGATTGCTAAGTGATTGGGTCAAAGTAAGAAAGTCAAGATTCAGGTTAGAGTCCGGACCTCCTTATCACTTATCCCTGTGATACCTTAAGTTTTTTTTTTTTTTTGGCTCACTGCAACTTCCGCCGCCAGGTTCAAGCCATTCTCCTGCCTCAGCCTCCTAAATAGCTGGGATTACAGATGCGCACCACCATACCCAGCTAATTTTTGTATTTTTAGTAGAGACAGGTTTTCACCATATTGGCCAGGATGTTCTCATGATCCGCTCATCTTGGCCTCCCAAGGTGCTGGGATTACAGGTGTGAGCCATCGCGCCTTCCTCTTAAGTTTTTTTGTCTTTTCTTTCTAATTCCAGAAAAAGAAGCAAAAAAAGTTGAAGGATTTGATATGGTTCAGAAGCCAAGTTATTATGTTAGACTGGGATCCCTGTCTACCAAGCTTCGCTCCCGTGCCTACCAGCAGGCTCTCAGCAGGGTTAAAGAAGCTAAGCAAAAAAGCCAAGAGACCATTTCTCAGCTCCATTCTACTGTTCAGCTGGTGAGTAAAACTTTATTTTAAGGTATCTGAAGTGAGTTCATTTATCTCTAGGCCCAAGAGTTAATGTAATCAAAATCCAAGAATTTCACTCTTACTTGATGAACAACCCAGTAGAAAACTGGAAAAGAATATGAAGACAACTCACAGAAAAAGAAACTGGGATTACAGGCATGAACCACCATGCCCAGCTATTTTTTTTTTTTGTATTTTTAATAGAGATGGTATTTCACCATGTTGGTCAGTCTGGTCTCGAACTCCTGACCTCGTGATCCACCAGCCTCAGCCTCCCAAAGTGCTGGGATTACAGGCGTGAACCACCACACCTGGCCAACTTGGCAACCTTTAATGGCTACACAGTAGTCTACTGTGATATATCAATTTCATTAGTCCCATTAATGGTTGTGCATTGCTATAGTCTCTTGCAACTTTAAACAAATATACACATCTGTAGGATAAAAAGTAAAACTGCTCAAAGTATAGGTATGTTTGTAATTTTCCTAAAACTGTCTCTTGAATCAGTCAGTCCCTTACAGCAAGAGCTGCATAAGTGTGGTTCTTTCTCTACACCACTGCCAACAGCCACATTTCCAGCATGGCAGGACAAGAAAGAGGTGTTGGTATTTGACTCCTCAGAGCAAGATTAGCATTACTTCAGATATTTCAGCTATTTGTACTTCTTTTCCTTTTTTTTTTTATAATTTTTTTTCTTTTAGAGATGGGGTTTCACCATGTTGGCCAGGGTGGACTCAATCTCTTCACTCTATGATCTGCCCATCTCAGCCTCCCACAGTGCTGGGATTACAGGCGTGAGGCACCACACCCAGCCCTTATATTTATTTTTTTGCTTGAACCCAGGAGGCAGAGGTTGTAGTGAGCCAAGATCGCACCATTGCACTCCAGCCTGGGTGACAGAGCAAGACTCTGTCTCAAAAAAAAAAAAAAAAAAAAAAGGTTGCCAAGTTATAGAACAGTATTTACCATTCTGTACTGCCATAATAAAACCATTTCTTCCTGGAAGAGGAAATAGTTGGTTGGCCACAGGGAAGAGGAAGGTCGAATTGCTCTCTGTTATTTTAATGTAACTTACCCTTTACTCATATACACATTACATTTTAGTTGCTGGCTAGGTGCCATGGCTCATGCCTATAATTCCAACACTTTGGGAGGCCAAGGCAGGTGGATCACCTGAGGTCAGGAGTTCAAGACCAGCCTGGCCAACATGGTGAAAACTTGTTTCTACTAAAAATGTGAAAATTAGCTGGGCATGGTGACATATTCCTGTAATCCCAGCTACTAAGGAGGCTGAGGCAGGAAAATCACTTGAACCTGGGAGACAGAGGTTGCAGTGAGCCCTGATCATGCCACTGCACTTCAGCCTGGGTGACAGAGTGAGACTCTCTTTCTCTCAAAAAAAAAAAAAAAAAAAATTTTAGTTGCTTTACCTGTGCTGAACTGGAGGTTAATTTGGAGTCAGTGATTTAATAGTTAAATAGAGGCAGTAAAGAGCTACTACTGCTTGGTAACTTACACATATTGATAATAAATAACAGTGATAGCAGGAATAGATCTCATTCAACTCCAGGATATTCTTAGTTTTTATGTTGCCTGATTTACATCATATATCTGCAAACAGACTAACATGAATGTCTGACCTGTGTGTTTCTTTGTCTTGTTTCAATGTGTTTAGATTGAATTTGCCAGGAAGAATGTGCATAATACCAATCAGAGAATTCAGGATGCTCAGGATAAACTCTACCTCTCATGGGTGGAGTGGAAAAGGAGCATTGGGTATGATGATACTGATGAGTCCCACTGTGCTGAGGTAAGATGACTGGGACAGTCATTTGCTAGTTTCCAAAGTTCTTACCAAACTTTTCATTTCAATTTTTCCATACTCTGTCTTAGAATACTCTTCTCTATCAAAAGATTGAACAATACTTTGTACATAGATGGCTAGTTAAGTGGCAGAAAAGCAAAACTACACAGGGAGTAATTTTATTTAACAATCTGTGAATATACATATGCCCCAAGTGAGATACAACTAAACACAGGCCTTGCCCTCAAAATGGGTACAGACTAACAGGGGATACAGCCAGCCATGCTGTCCTATTGTCTTTTTTTGTTTTTGTTTTTTAAGATGGGGTTCACCATGGTGGCCAGGCTGGTCTTGAACTCCTGACCTCAGGTGATCCACCCACCTCAGCCTCCCAAAGTGCTAGGATTACAGGCGTGAGCCACTGCGCCCGGCCGTCTTTTTTTTTTTTTTTTTACGTGCTCCTTGCAGAAGAGGGCTACCCCATAGGCAGTATATTCAGAGTAGCCAAGTTCTTTTGTTTTTTAACAGCATAAATATAGACACTATTGGCCGGATGTGGTGGCTTATACCTGAAATCTGAGAACTTTGGGAGGTCAAGGACACCTAAGTCACCTAAGTCAAGACCAGCCTGGCCAACATGGAGAAACTTCATCTCTACTAAAAATACAAAATTAGCCAGGCATAGTGGTGTGCATCTGTAGTCCCAGCTACTTGGGAGGCTGAGGCAGGAGAATCGCTTGAACCCTGGAGGTGGAGGTTGCAGTGAGCTGAAATCATGCCATTGCACTCCTACCTGGGTGACAAAGTGAAACTCCATCTCAAAAATATAAGCACTGTGAAAATTTATGGTATGACTATCTCAGGCAGGCTTGGAGTCAGGGTGGGCGAGTCACATGGCTTCCTGGAAGAGATGAATGGTAAGCTAAGAACTAATTGGTGAATAAACTAGGTGAAACGGCAATAAGAGTATTAATGTTTCAGGCAGAAGACATAGCATCTTAGCTGAACACAGTAGCTCACACTTGTAATTCCAGCACTTTGGGAGGCCAAGGCAGGCAAATCTCTTGAGCCCAGGAGTTTAGGATCATTCTGGGCAACGGTGAAACCCCATCTTTACAAAAAATACAAAAATTAGCAGGGCTTGGTGGTGTGCACCTGTAGTCTTAGTTGGCTTGGGAGGCTGAGGTGGGAGGATTACCTAAGCCCAGGAGGTTGGGGCTGCAGTGGGCCATGATTATGCACTGTCTGGATCCAGCTTGCGTGACAGACTAAGACCCTATCTCAAAAAAGAAAGAAAGAAAGAAATATCCTCTTACAGTCCTAGAAAGTGGTTCTTTGTGTCCCAAAAACTCTGAGGTCAGTATTAAACTGTTCGTTCATATCTTGCCATTTTACATATATATTACACTACTAAGAGGGAATACATATATATATATATTAAATTATATATATATATCATTAAAATATATATATATATATTATACTACTAATAAGAAGTATATTTCTATTCTTTTGGGTCTCCCCTACCTAATATGTTTCTTCAGTTTAAGATGATGATCTTTGGAGACTTAGGCACTAGTTTGAATCCCCACCCAGCTGTTTTCCAGTTGTTAACTGAAGCCATCTACTTAAACTCTAAGCTTGTATTCATATATATGAAATGTGAATAATACTGCTGCACTCAGCATTGTAATGAGTATTTTTAAAAGCCAAAGAATCCACATATGTGGTCGACACATAACCAGCTTACTTTTATTGAACTAACCTTATACATAGCACTGTTGGATCCACTGCTAATTTTAAGTTTTATTTTTAGCACATCGAATCACATACTCTTGCTATTGCCCGAAACCTGACTCAGCAGCTCCAGACCACATGCCACACCCTCCTGTCCAACATTCAAGGCTTACCACAGAACATCCAAGATCAGGCCAAGCACATAGGGGTGATGGCCTGCGACGTCTACTCAGTGTTCCGAAATGCTGCCTCCTTTAAGGAAGTGTCTGACAGCCTCCTCACTTCTAGCAAGGGGCAGCTGGAGAAAATGAAGGAATCTTTAGATGATGTGATGGATTATTTTATTAACAACACGCCCCTCAACTGGCTGGTAGGTCCCTTTTATTCTCAGATGACTGAGTCTCAGAATGCTCAGGACTAAAGTGCAGAGATGGACAAAAGCAGCCAGGAGGCCCAGCAATCTGAGCACAAAACTCATTAAACCTGCCCCTGTCACCAATGCATGATGTGGCCAGCTAGCTGACACCTTTTGTTATTTTGAAATTAACCTGCTAGACAGCACTAAATTGGGAAGCAAGTACCTAGTAAAAAGGCCCTCAATTATATTATTTCCAGCTGAATTAAGAGCTTTAACGTTTCTGGCATTAGCAGATGATTTCTGTTTACCTGGTAAGAAAAGAATGACAAGCTTGTCAAAGCCTAGCCAGAACTCACAAAAAATTCAAGTGCACTTATGTTCCAATTCTGTGGCCAGTGTGTTGTCTCCGTTACTGTTTGTATTGAATAAAAACATCTTCATGTTGGCTGGGGTAGAAACTGGTGTCTGTTCTGGTATGATCTGAGCAGGCCTCTTTACTGGTTTATCTCATGATGATTGCTTGTACAACTTGATTTTAGTTTTTTATTTCTCAAATAGGAAAACTACCTTTGAATTCAATAAAAGTCACTGCAGGATAGACCAGTTATATGCTGTTTGTTCCATGTGCTCTGTGTGTTGCTTTCATAAAGTTGCTCAACCTGCATGACAGAGTTATACATACATGAATTTCAATTGGCCTGTGGGGGAATTTGGCAGAGTGAGAACATTGGAAGGCTAATGTTAAAAATGGGATGCTTGATAACAGATTTAACACAAATTAAAAAGTAATGTGCATATTCAAATTTTACTGGATGACATTTGCTCTCGGTTTGCCAATTTACTGGGCCCCTGTGAGTGGGTTTTTTTTTTTTTTTTGAGACGGAGTTTTGCTTTTGTTACCCAGGCTGGAGTGCAATGGCGCGATCTCGGCTCTCCGCAACCTCCGCCTCCTGGGTTCAGGCAATTCTCCTGCCTCAGCCTCCTGAGTAGCTGGGATTACAGGCACGCGCCACCATGCCCAGCTAATTTTTGTATTTTTAGTAGAGACGGGGTTTCACCATGTTGACCAGGATGGTCTCGATCTCTTGACCTCGTGATCCACCCGCCTCGACCTCCCAAAGTGCTGGGATTACAGGCTTGAGCCACCGCGCCTGGCGTGAGTGGGTTTTTAACCAGTAAAAGGACCTAGTCGTGTCTGACTACCTCACTGAAAAAGAATCAGAACTGAAAGGAAGTGAGTGATTGTTTTCATCAGTGTCATGTAAAGGCATTGGGCATTTCTTGCCAGGGAACCAGTTAAAGTGTGAGCCCTAAAAGGGAGATTCTTCAGTGTCCAGCCTGAGCTGGACTTAACTTACTGCATTTTCATTTTGAGACAAAGTCACTAACCTCAGTTGTTTTTGGGGAGGTACTTATAGAAAACCATGTGAGACTAACTACAAGTGAAAAGACTCATCCCCCAGTAGAAAAGGGTTCTTCTTACCACCTGCCTATGGTATCCAAACTTCTAGTCCATTCAATGTTGGTTATTTAGGAATTATCCTGAATCCCCTTCTCACACAGTTGCAATATGTCAAACTAGTTTTTAAAAGCCAGTCTCAGAACTTGTGTAATAGGCCAGGCGCTGTGGCTCACACCTGTAATGCCAGCACTTTGGGAGGCTGAGGCAGGCAGATCACCTGAGGTCGGGGGTTTGAGACCAGCCTGACCAACATGAACTGAAGTATAACTCAAATTTGTCTCTTTCTATCCTGATTCACCCCTTTCCATGAAAACAAGGAAGGAGCACATAACTTTACATGCTCCTTTGATGTGAATGAATGTATTAAAGATTTTTATTGGCCAGGCACATTGGCTTATGTCTGTAATCCCAGCACTTTGGGAGGCTGAGGTGGACAGATCACCTGAGGTCAGGAGTTTGAGACCAGCCTGGCAACATGGTGAAACCCAGCCTCTACTGAAAACAAAAGTTAGGCTGGGTGTGGTGGCTCACGCCTGTAATCCCAGCACTTTGGGAAGCTGAGGCGGGGGGATCATGAAGTCAGGAGTTTGAGACTAACCTGCCCAACATGGTGAAACCCCATCTCTACCAAAAATATGAATATCAACTGTGCATGGTGGCTGGCACCTGTAATCTTAGCTACTCAGGAGGCTGAGGCAAGAGAATCGTTTGAACCCAGCAGGCGGAGGTGGCAGTGAGCAGAGATGTGCCATTGCACTCCAGCCTGGGTAACACAGTGAGACTCTGTCTCAAAAAAAAAAAAATCTACAAAAATTAGCTGGGTGTGGTTGTGTGCACCTGTAATCCTGGCTACTAGGGGGCTGAGGCACAAGAATCCCCTGAACCAGGGAGGTGGAGTTTGCAATGAGATGGGATCATGCCACTGTATTCCTGCCTGGGCAACAGTGAGAACCTGTCTCAAAAAAAAAAAAAAAAGAAAAAGGGCTGGGCGCACTGGCTCACACCTATAATCCCAGCACACTGGGAGGCTGAGGCGGGCGGATCATGAGGTCAAGAAATCGAGACCATCCTGGTCAACAAGGTGAAACCCCGTCTCTACTAAAAATACAAAAATTAGCTGTGCATGGTGGCGCGTGCCTGTAATCCCAGCTACTCGGGAGGCTGAGGTAGGAGAATTGCTTGAACTCAGGAGGCGGAGGTTGCGGTGAGCCGAGATTGCACCATTGCACTCCAGCCTGGGTAACAAGAGCAAAACTCCATCTCAAAAAAAAACCAAAAATTTGTCAAGTTATAAAATTTTTCTCCTCAGTGCAACTCCAGAAGTTAGTAAACAGGTGAGCTGAGTTGGAGGGTAGGAACTCCCTGGGATAGTTGAAGCTGCTTTTTAATTTGTTTTGCAGATAAGGAGCTTCTGGTTTTGGGAAGGATGGACTTTTGTGATGTAATGAGTTTCCACGACAGGGTCTATTCACTCACTTGCTACCCTGTTCCCAGTAACTGGCATTTTGTAAAGCCTCTGCCTCTTAAATGTTCTTTCTTTCTTTTTTGTTTTTTTTTTTTGAGGTAGAATCTCGCTCTGTTTCTCAGGCTGGAGTGCAATGGTACAGTCTCGGCTCACTGTGACCTCTGCCTCCCAGGCTCAAGCCATTCTCCTGCCTCAGCCTTTCAAGTAGCTGCGATTAAGGTGTGCGTCACCATGCCCTGCTAGTTTTTGTATTTTTAGTAGAGACGGGGTTTCACCATGTTGGCCAGGCTGGTCTCAAACTCCTGACCTCAAGTGATCCGCCGGCCTCATCCTCCCAAAGTGCTGGGATTACAGGGGTCAGCTATTGCACCTGACTGAATTTTTTTTTTCTTAGTCCAAATCACCCTGCCCCTTTGTGCCTCCAAACTCCCAGGACTGCTATTTTGCAGTTTATTCCAGTTGATTGGAAAATTCATAAGCTATATTTATACACATGATTTCTTATTTTGAATACATACCTTTGTGTTTCCCCATTATGGGAGTATGTGTGTTACTTAAGTTAGTACAGATTTTTTAAAAAAGAAGAGTTGTAGTGCTTACTGAACAGCTTATGAAAAGGAGACAGGTCTCAAAGCTCTTCCTGAGCAGGGACAGAATAAAATGTAGACCATTCTTAGCTTCTGGAAGAACACCAGCAGCCCTTGCTTTTTGCCGTGAGCTGTGCACATTGGTCATGGTTTTGCTATCTTTGTGTTTCAAGTTTGTGTCTACATGCATTTCATTCATTTGTCAACATGTCTCAGGATTTGTGGTGCTCTGGCTTTTTTTTTTTTTTTTTTTTTTTTTAATGGGCTGGAGTGGAGTGTTACGATTGGCTCACTGCAACCTTCGCCTTCCAGGCTCAAGCAATTCTTCCACCTCAGTGTCCTGAGTATCTGGGACCACAGGCATGCACAACCACACCCGCTAATTTTTGTGTTTTTGTAAAGTTGGGGTTTCACCATGTTGCCCAGGCTGGTCTCAAACTCCTGAGCACAAATGATCCACCCACCTCAGCCTGCCAAACTGCTGGGATTCCAGGCCTGAGCCACTGAATCCAGCCTGTTTTCTCACATCTTGCAGCTTCATTGTTGCATAAACTGGCAGAAAATTTTCGTTTTATAGACTTTTTTCCTCCAGAAAACAGTTGTTTTGAGGGAAAATACTAAGGCTAACACAGTATCTAACCATGGTAGGTTTGTAAACATGGGACTGCATGAAGCCTGGCATGGTGTGCCTGAGGGAGTGTTCAAGAATGTTTTTTCCTTTGCCTGTAATAATAATATAGTCTTTCTAGTTTGTCCTATGCAGAAATGCAAAGAAACATGACGCATTGGCCATTAACCTCTGAGCCTTAGTTTTCTCGTCTATTAAGTTAATGTTGCCACAACAGATGGAAGTGAGTGTTGAGGATGGGGAAGTGTTTTTCTAATTTGCACTAGAGGCATGGGGACATCATCTGTGGGACAGTGACATGTAGTATCTTTAACTTGGCAGTTCAGGTGTGAGTATATAATACCAGCTAATGGTTAGGAAAATGTATCCAGTTTGGTAAGGCAGTTACAGGTATTAAAGAGCTAATGAAACTGGGCCTGGTGGTACATACCTACACGGTCTCAGTTACTCAGGTGGCTGGGACAGGAAGATTGCTTGAGCCCAGGAGTTCAAGGCTGTGGAAAAAAAAAAAATTAACAAAGTGAAAAGGGAAAAACTAAAATTTGATTTACATGAGATATGTAAGATACAGGGCTCAAGGTCAGCTAAAGCCAAAGACTTGTTTTAGGGTATCTTTCTTGTTTACCTTTTGAGATTCTCATGCTACCTCCCTCCCTCCACCCCAAAATGGACTTCTTTGGAACTGAATTTATAAAACTTTAGTTTTAGAAATTACCGACTCCTGAAAAAAAAAAGGTGTCAATTTGACCCTCACTGGGCTAGACCCAGTTCATATTTTTAGAACTGGTGAGGTTTAAGGCTTTCTAACTAATCATCCTAAGCTGAGAGTCAAGAATAGAGTGCTCAGCCTGGCGTGGTGGCTCATGCCTGTAATCCTAGCAGTTTGGGAGGCCGAGGTGAGTGGATCACCTGAGGTCGGGAGTTCAAGACCAGCCTGGCCATCATGGTGAAACCCCACCTTTACTAAAGATACCAAATTAGCTGGGCATGGTGGCTTGCTCCTGTAATTCAAGCTACTGAGACATGAGAATTGCTTGAACTTGGGAGGCGAAGGTTGCAGTGAGCCAAGATCGCACCACTGCACTTCAGTCTGGGCGACAGAGCAAAACTGTCTCAAAAAAAAAAAAAAAAGAACGAAATTGTTTTTTTTTTTTCTTTGAGACAGAGTTTTGCTCTTGTTACCCAAGCTGGAGTGCAATGGCGCGATCTTGGCTCACCGCAACCTCCGCCTCCTGGGTTCAAGCAATTCTCCCACCTCAGCCTCCTGAGTAGCTGGGATTACAGGCACGTGCCACCATGCCCAGCTAATTTTTTTGTATTTTTAGTAGAGACAGGGTTTCACCTTGTTGACCAGGATGGTCTTGATCTCATGACCCCGTGATCCACCCGCCTCGGCCTCCCAAAGTGCTGGGATTACAGGCTTGAGCCACCGTGCCCGGCAAGGAAATTGTTAAGATTGTCAGTAAGATGACTTAGTGAAAAGACAGGAAGACAGTTGAAAGAAAAATGTTTGTGGTGGGAGGTACACAGAATTGCCTGGGATTATTCTCTTGCTTAAACTGGGCCTGCAGATTAGAGATATAATATGAGGTATAATATAACAAAAGGCTTTGAATCTCAAAAGGGAGCCTATCTTGATACAGAATAGACTTTCTAGGTTTTTAGCCTGGCACAGGTTTTATGAAAGTGCCATTTGAGAGTGCCATATAAAAGATAGTAGAGCTGGTCAGCCATGGGAGCTCATGCCTGTAATCCCAGCACTTTGGGAGGCCAAGGTGGGCAGATCACCTGAGGTCAGGAGTTCAAAACCAGCCTGGCCAACATGATGAAATCCCACCTCTACTAAAAATACAAAACTTATCTGGGTGTGGTGGCCCACGCTTGTAATCCCAGGTACTTGGGTGGCTGGGACAGGAGAATCACTTGAACCTTGGAGGTGGAGGTTGCAGTGAGCCAAATTCACACCACTGCGCTCTAGCCTGGGTGACAGGCTCCATCTCAAAAAAGTAAAATAAAACAAAAATTTAGTGTCAGATCTTCTACTTTTAAGTGTACAATTCTGTGGGATTAAGCACATTTACGGTGTTATACAACAATCACCATTATATTCATCTTAAGCACAAATTCTGTACCCATTAAACAATAATTCCAGGATGGGCAAGGTGGCTCACGCCTGTAATCCCAGCCCTTTGGGAAGCCAAGGCAGGTGGATCACTTGAGGTCAGGCATTCAAGACTAGTTTGGCCAACATGGTGAAACCCATCTCTACTAAGAAATACAAGTAGCTGGGATTAAAGGCCTGCACCACCACAGTGGCGCAGGTGGCAGTGCATGCCTGTAGCTGGGCATGGTGGCAGTGCATGCCTGTAATCCCAGTTACTTGGGAGGCTGAGTCAGGAGAGTCACTTGAACCTAGGAGGCAGAGGTTGCACTGAGCAGAGATTACACCACTGCACTCCAACCTGGGGGACAGAGCAAGACTCCATCTCAAAAAAAAAAAAACAACCCACAATAACTCCCCAAATCCCTTATCCCCTTCTGTCTATTTTTTTTGAGAGATTTTTGTTGTTGTTTGCTGCTTTTCCTGTTAGGTTATCAGCTAGTTTTTTCCCTCCACTATTAAGATTCTAGCCTTTAGTAATATGTTGCATGTTATTAATGTTCGTGTTTTAATCTGTTGTTTGCTAAGAAACGTTACTTAAAGCTTATGGAAATTGTATATAGAGTAAGATTCTTTGTTCCTAAAGGCTTTCCTATGCAGAGAAGAGGTAGGGTTTTGTGATGGCTGTTTGAAGCATAAAAATACCTTTTGTTCCCTCAGTTGCTAGACATTTCCCTAGACACTTGCTTATGGAAAAGTAGGGGATTACTGTTTTTAAGAAACAACAGATTAATAGTTGAATAATGAGAAATGCTTTATATCTGGTATTTTTAAAAAAGCCTTCATTGACTAGGTTCCACCGCTAGTTAGTTCCCTTTTTAAAAGATCTCCTTAGGCCAGGCGTGGTGGCTTGTGCCTGTAATCCAAGCACTTTGGAGGCTAAGGTGGGCGGATCACCTGAGGTTGGGAGTTCAAGACCAGCCTGACCAACATGGTAAATCCCCCGTCTTTTTAAAAAAATAAAAAATAAAATAAAAGATCTCCTTAGTGCTTTTATAATCTGAGGGAATTGCGGGAATAAGACCACAAACATTTTTTCAAAAAGCACAGCTACGGACAAAGCAAGGTTCACCTACATGCACTAAAGTCTCCATGAGCTCACATGGACCTGACAACTCACTTCATCAGTGTTTGTTTCAATATCTGAGATTCTTCTTTTACAGGTGTTTGATTTCACCACCATAGACTTGACATCTGAGAATGATGAAATTCCAGATATTATAGCTTTGGAAGAGGAGAACAGATCAAATCATTCACATGCATTAGCTTTGTCCCCTCATGGCAAAATGGTGAATAACTAACAACAACAACAAAATACCCCTAGGCCAGGGACGGTGGCTCCTGCCTGTAATCCCAGCACTTTGGGAGACTGAGGCAGGTGGATCACGAGGTCAGGAGTTCAAGACCAGCCTGTCCAAGATGATAAAACCCGTCTCAACTAAAAATTACAGAAAATATAGCCGGTGTGATGGCATGTGCCTGTAATCCCAGCTACTTGGGAGGCTGAGACAGGAGAATTGCTTGAACCCAGGAGGTAGCAGTTGCAGGGAGCTGAGATCGTGCCACTGCACTCCAGCCTGGGTGACAGAGCAAGATTCTGTCTCAAAAAAAAAAAAAAATACCCCTTTTGGTTGAATACACAATTGATATTAGATTGAACTTCCTGTTTTTATTCCTGTGGATTTGAAGGGTGTTCATCTATTTTTTTGGCTACATTGATCTTAATTGCAATAAAAACTGACCTAAACTTTTGTAAGATATCATAGTTCTGTGTCATATATCCTTTAATATAATTATTTAAAGTTTAATTGCTGGAACACTTATAATAAAAACTGGGTTGCGTAATCTTGACTTCATGAGTTTTTTTCACACTGGTATAGTGCACATTTGTTGTCTTTTGGTCTCCCATGATTCATTCATGCTTCTTTTGAGGGTCTCAGTGGGGATAGTGGTCAAGGTTTTTGCTTTCCCTTAGCCTAGTGGTGGGCATGTGACCAAAAGCAGGTCAACTGGGAGGAAGCATAGCGTGATGGGTAAGGGCTCAACCTCTGGGTTCTAATCTGGCTCTGCCAGTTACTATGTGATCCTGAGCAGGTTACTTAATTTCTCTGCACCTCATTTTTTTAATCTGTAAAACTGGAATAGCGCTAGGTTTGCTATGAAGCTTAGATAATTAGCATTTGTGAAAAGCTTAGAGCAGTGCCTGGCACAGAGCAGCATTAAGTATTAGCTGCCTATAATCCCAGCACTTTCGGAGGCCAAGGCTAGTGGATCGCTTCAGGTTAGGGATTTGACACCAGCCTTCAACATGGTGAAACACCGTTTCTACTAAAAAAAGAAAAAGAAAAAGAAAAAGAAAAAAAATTAGCCAGGCTGTGGTGGTACAGGCCTGTAATCCCTGCTACTCAGGAGGCTGAGGCAGGAGACTTGCTTGCACCCAGGGGATGGAGGTTGCAGTGAGCCCAGTTCGCACCATTACACTCCAGTCTGGGTAACAGAGTGAGACTCCATCTCAAAAAAAAAAGAAGACAGTATTAGTTAAGGGAGTGAATTGTAGAAGCAATCTGGGGCAGTGGCTCACACTTAAAATCCCAGCAGTTTGGGAGGCTAAGGTGGGAGGATCACTTGAGCCCAGGAGTTCCAGACCAGACTGGGTAATATAGTACGACCTTCTCTCTACAACAATAACAAAAAAAACACACACACACCTTAGAAAATTAGGCTGGGCGTGGTGGCTCACATCTGTAACTCTAGTACTTTGTACTTTGGGAGGCCAAGGCAGGTGGACTAGAGGTCAGGATTTTCAGGCCACCCTGGCCAACATGGTGAAACCCTGCCTCTACTAAAAATACAAACATTAGGCTGGGCTCGGTGGCTTACACCTGTAATCCCAGCACTTTGGGAGGCCAAGGTGGGCGGATCACCTGAGGTCGGGAGTTTGAGACCAGCCTGACCAACATGAAGAAGCCCCATCTTAAAAAAAAAAATGCAAACATTAACTGGGTGGGGTGGTGGGTGCCTGTAATCCCAGCTACTTGGGAGGTTGACGTGGGAGGATTCCAGGCTAGTTTGGAATTCCCAGCCTCAAATGATCCTCCTGCCTCGGCCTCCTAAAGTGCTGGGATTATAGGCATGACCCACCATGCCTAGCTGCCAAATCTTCTTAGAATGAGGCCTAGTGAGTGAGGACTAAACTCTGACCTTTTTTCTTTCTGGCCCAAATTCCTAACTACTGAATTTAAGGAGTTACATCCTATAAACCATAAAAATCTCATCAGATGGATTTTGTTGAACCCTATATAACCCAGCTTACTTTCCAACCTGACTCTGACATAATATCACATGACAGATAAAGAAGGAAATAATGTTTTTTTCTGAAAATATGTTTCCTTGGTATATTTTGAAATGCGCCCGCAAAGCCATTGCTTATGGGGGGAAATCTACATCTGTAAAGAAGCTGGCCGGGTGCGGTGGCTCACACTTGTAATCCCAGCACTTTGGGAGGCTGAGGCAGAAAGATCACCTGAGGTCCAGAATTCCAGACCATCCTGGTCAACACGGTGAAACCTGTTGACCTGAAACCCTGTCTCTACCAAAAATACAAAAATTAGGTGGGCATGGTGGTGCATGCCTGTAATCCCAGCTACTTGGAAGGCCGAGGCAGGAGAATTACTTGAACCCAGGAGACGGAGGTTGCACTGAGCCAGATTGGGCCACTCCACTCCTGACTGGGTGATAGAGTGAGACTCTGTCTCAGAAATAAACAAATAAAAGAATCTCTATTGAAATAAATAGATGTTTCCTCTGGCAGGCCCTCCCAATCCTAAAGAGATTAACTGAGAATCCAGTACTCGCTGTGTCACCCAGTCTGGAGTACACCCAGGCTTGCGATCTCAGCTCCCTGCAACCTCTCCCTCCCGGGTTCAAGCGCTTCTCCTGCCTCAGCCTCCCTCTGGAGTACCTGGGATTACAAGTGTCTGCCACCATGCTCGGCTAATTTTTGTCCTTTTAGTAGAGATGGGGTTTTACAACATTGGCCAGGCTGATCTCGAACTCCTGACCTCAGGTGATCTGCCTGCCTTGGCCTCTCAAAATGCTGGAATTACAGGTATGAGCCACCGTGCCCAGCCTTAATTTTTTTTTTTTTTGAGACGGGGTCTTGCTCTGATGCCCAGACTGGCATGCAGTGGCATAATCTGGGCTCGTCGCAACCTCTGCCTTCTGGGCTGAAGCAATCTGCTGGCCTCAGCCTCCCAAAGTGTTGGAATTACAGGTGTGAGCCAGATTCCAGTACTTATGGGTGGCCACCTATGAGACTTTATCCTTTTTTTTTTTTGATGAGATGGAGTTTTGCTATTGTTGCCCAGGCTGGAGTGCAATGGCATGATCTCAGCTAACCGTAACCTCTGTCTCCCGGGTTCAAGCAATTCTCCTGCCTTAGCCCCTCAAGTAGCTGGGATTACAGGCATGTGTCATCACACCCAGCTAATTTTGTATTTTTAGTAGAGACAGGGTTTCTCCATGTTGGTCAGGCTGGTCTCGAACTGCCGACCTCAAGTGATCCGCCTGCCTTGACCTCCCAAAGTGTTGGGATTACAGGTGTGAGCCACCGTGCCTGCCCGAATCAGAAAAACTTTGAGTCCACCTGTGACCTGAACCCTCCACTTTGAGTTGCCTCACCTTTCTGTACAGAACCAATGTATACCTCATGTGTATTGATTGATGTCTTATGTCACCCTAAAACTGTATAAAACCAAGCTATAGCCCCACCATCTTGGGCACATATTCTCAGGAACTCTTGAGACTGTGCCTCAGGCCATGGTCACTTATACTTGGCTCAGAATAAACCTCTTTAAATATTTTGTTAGAGGAACCCCTGCTTACCAGGCCTCTGGTTTAATAAAACATGACTAGAGTGACTCTATCTTAAAGTAGCTAGGCACTTACAAGGCTCCTATAAAATTAATGCTTATGGTCTAAAAATAGCCACATTCTAAACTGACCACCAATTATAATTACAGAATATGTATGGCCATCCAGGATATCTCCCATCAAGCCTGCAGAATGTCCAGATATTCTAAGGAGCAGCCCACTTTACTTAAAGATGATGTGAAAGAGCAAGCTTCGGTTGAGAGATTCATGGTGTTTGAAAGCACAATAGCCCTACCTTTAGTGAGCATATCTGCACAGTGCAAGTTTAATTACAGCCCCTTATAGTTTCTTGTAAGTAGAGACACTGACAAAGGACCGTGTGCTCCTTCCCCTGCTTTCTGAGGTTGCTCTGCTCTTCAACGGAGTAGTTTCCAATAAACTCGCTTCCTTCATTGTGCTCTGTGACTCACCTCAAATTATTTCCTGCACAAGATACAAGAACCTTCTCTTTGGATCTGGATCAGGACTCTCTTTTTTCAGACAACAATTTTACAGAGTTTGACTCTTTTTGTGGACAAGAGTCAGAGAATTTTTTTTGGTGTTGTTCTTTTGCTTTGAGAAGGGTCTTGTTCTGTCACCTAGACTGAACCTTCCAGGGTCAAGTGATTTTCCCACCTCAGCCTCCTGAATAGCTGGTCTACAGGCATGTACCACCAGAAAGGAGTCAGAGATCTTACAGATGACCTCCACAATGAAGAGCCATGGGTGATAGCATAAACTTCAAAAGGTGGTTTTAGGCTCCACACGGTGGCTCATGCCCTGGGTGGCCAAGGTGGGTGGATCGCTTGAGCCCAGGAGCTCAAGCCCAGCCTAGGCGACATGGTGGGTCGGTCTCTCTCCCCCCACCCAGCCCCCCTCCTCTATTTCTCTCTTTTTTTAAAGGTGGTTATTATACTGAGGCAGGAAGCAATAATTGCCAGAGGTAGTAGGTTGCTCAGTCCACTTCCAGGCCCTATTGTCTGTGGGGTTTGTGGTAGGCAACAGCTGTCAATTAAGAGGACTGCAGGTTGCTGAAGGCAGTGACTCATGCCTGTAATCCCAGCACTCTGGGATGCCGAAGCGGGTGGATCACCTGGGGTCAGGAGTTTGAGACCAGCCCAGCCAACATGGTGAAACCCCGTTTCTATTAGAAATACAAAAAATTAGCCAGGCGTGGTGGCAGGCGCCTGTAATTCCAGCTATTAGGGAGGCTGAGGCATAAGAATCGCTTGAATCAGGGAGGCAGAGGTTGTAGTGAGCCCAGATAGCACCACTGCACTCCAACCTGGACAACAGAGCAAAACTCCGTCTAAAAAAAAAAAAAAAAAAAAAAAGACTGCAGGGGGAGTAGAGAGCCAGATTTCATTTCATTTAGAGCAGGAAAAGGAACATCCAGCATTTGAGGGCACAGATTTTGCTAATGACAGAAATGAGGCTCAGAGATTACGTGACTTGATCAGAGTCACAGTGACCATAGTTGAGGATGAAACCAGTGCTTTTTCTCTACACCGAGGCACAGTGCTCCATTTATGGTTTTTATGTGACGTAACAACTAGGATGATCCCCACACACCAAGAATCAAAACCCCGAAGGCCCGAGGGTCTGGACACTACAGCGGTTACGCAAGCGCAGAACAATTCGCTGGCCGCGCAATCCCCTGTGGGTTGTGTAGTTTCTCGGCTGGGCATGACCGGAAAAGAGGAGAGAAGAGCGCATTGCATGGCGGGAGATATAGTCCTCCCGGGAAGTCCCTCCTTCCTCGGAAGCCTGGCGGCGCCGGCGCACACTGCTCTTCCATAAGGGCGGGAGTCTCGGTTTGTGGCGGTTTCGATGAGGCGGTTGTGGCCGCAATACCGTTAGCAGCTCAATTTCCCCGAGGCTCTAAGGCCCTTTGAGGCGAAATGGCTCCGGGCGAGGAAGGAGCAGGCGGTGGC